TGCCTTCCTGACAGTCCCCCTCTCTCCCCTGCACAGATTCCCTCTCCCCCTCTCTCCCCCTCACAGGTACCCTCTCCTCTCCAAATTTCCTCTCTCCCCTCCCTCTCCTATACAAATCCCCTGCCTCCCTGACAGTCCCCCTCCTTCCCCTGCACAGATCCCCTCTCCTCCCCACCATCCCCTGTTCAGATACCCTCTCCCCCTGCCTCCCCTGCACCCTGACAGTTCTCCTCCCTCCCCTGCACAGACCCCCCTTACCCTCTCTCCCCTACACAGACCCCTTCCTCCCTGTACTCTGACAGTCCCCCTCCTTCTCCAGCAAGTCCCCCTCATATATACTGAAGCGCTTCAGTAACAATAATTGTTTAAAGGAACACTCTGCCCAAATGGGCAACCCTCCCCCATAAAATCACTGTTTAATAGATATGCCCCCAATGAATTACATGCATGAATTTTTCAGCGTGTATGTAGCGGAGTTCCCTGTACCCCATCTGGGTACCTGCACCAAGGACCGCTTCATAGCTGGAACAGGGGAAAACCTCAGCGCCTCTGCATCAGTTGCCGTGGCCTGACTGGGGTTCTCCTGGAGCGTCTCCGCCCTGGAACAGGATAGGGGACTAGTTCTATTCCCTCCCAGGGACTGGAAGACACACAGTCATGGGAGCTCTAGTCCTTACACGGTCTTCCCCCGCTGAATCCTCCACGAGCTGGAACACGATGCTGAGCAGTGAATCTAGCCCTTCCCCTCTCAGTAACTAGATGACACATAGTTCTGGGAGTGCAACCAATTTTAATAAGCCAAACTTGGCCTTTTATGCACAGACCCCAGCAGAAGGTTCTCCATTGTATTTAGCACAAGCCCCTCCCAGGAATCTCTGGGCCGGGAAGATAATTGTATTCAAGACCGGTAAGCTAATTATCTCCCAGGGAGCCAATCACAAAAATATAAAAACATAAAAGTACCCACCAAATAGCCCTGATCTGAGCACCCAAGTTCTTCAAATAGCACATAGATCAATGCAGTGTAGGGAAAACGCTGTTAAAGTTCTGACAGGCCACATACATGGCCTTTTGCTGAACATAGTTCCAGGTGCTTTTTCCAGTCAATTTTCAGGAGCTCCTGTGGCCGCAATATGGTGTGCTCTGCCTGGCTCTTAGGTAGCTTTTGTTCCCCTTAGTCTCAGGCACCTTCCGTCCAAAAAGCAATCTCCTGGTGAATTTTAAAACCGCAAACCAAGTTGTGCCGAAAACCGCACAGTCACCTCATGCCAAAAACAGTTCCATAACATTTGTGGCTAAGTCCCGCTGAGGTGACTGTGAACCCATGAAGTCCTCATGACGAAATTAGTTCCATAGCGGTCACGTGGGTTTGGTTCATGCGAGGCCACCTGAGAGCTAGCATTTGTTTCATTCACACGAAGGGAAAGTGCAGAGCCAGGGGCACCCAGTGAAAGCTACTAATGATGGCTGGGCAGGGTAGTTCCCAAACGGTGTCCCATACCTGGACCAGGAGTCCATGGCAAACGTACGTGGGAAGGAGCGTTTGACACAATGTATATCTTAAAAGAGCTTGAAAAGGTTGTAAACTGTTTGGGGCTAGAGGCATTGAGTACTTAAAATAGGTATGTCTGAAGCCACGGATGCCGCAACTGCACCAGACACGAAGTGGGTTGAGATAGGGACGGCAAACTCAGAGGCAGCCCCGGGCAGCAAATGCTCTAGCTACGCTGCTGGTTACATAGCTGAAAGAGCCATGCATCCACCAAGTTCAGCCTCTCTCACATCTGGTTTTGCTTTTGATCCAAAAGAAGGCAAAAAACAGTTTGAAGTGCTTCCAATTTTAAAACAAACAATGATAAAGTTCTTTCTTGACCCCAGAATGGCAGTCAGATCTCTTCTTGGATCAAGAAGCTCTTACCCCACAAATTAAAAACGATATGGCTGAATATTATGTTTTTACATGTATTCATCCAGTTGCTGTTTAAATATCCATACAGACTCTTCAGGCAGAGAATTCCACATCCTAATTGTTCTTACTGTAAAAAAAAAAAAAAAAAACCTTTACTTTGCCTAAGACTAAATCTCTATAGCATTTCCCAAACCATTCTTGTGTGTTGTTATCTCCAATTCACTACCATTTAAGGTGTAAGTTGCTTGTGCTTTCTATACCCTTAAATGCATAACCTTCCCAGTGCCCCAATATATCTATATACTTCTGCAGCAAAGTAATATCTTGCTCACATTGTATTATTTAGAGTTTTATGTCATCTGCAAACACTGAAACAAGACTTTCAATGCCTATTTCAAGATTATATACATATATAGTTAATACAATGTTAAACAAAAATCTGCACATCAGTCAAGCCATAAAACTTGCTTTTTTTCCCCACAGGAATCACACATTTGCAGTGATGTTACCGCAAAGGATTCTGGGTGGGCATTCACAAATTAGTTCAACAAAGAATAAAATGTTTGCCTCATTCCATTTTAAACATCGATTCCTTTGAGTCTGTGTTTGCTGTATACAACAGCTTTAAAACACAATTTAGTAAAAGATGCAAAGTCGGTTAACCACTCATTGACAGCTGTTTCATTGTTAATGCAAATCATCTGCATGAGTCACAGGTGCCTCATCCCAGGGCCCTATTTAACCTTATACTGCAGAGAGTCCCAGATGGAATTTTCCCCCACAAGTAAGTGGGTTCATATCATAAGAGCAGACATTAGGCTGTTAGAATAGGATCTGCCAAGATGGGGTGCATTGATCATATACCGTAACTAAACCCCCATTATTTTTGCCTAGATTAGGTGTTTTTGAAAAAACGAATGAAATCTGTCAACATTGAAGTTGCTGTTTAGTGGATAAGTGAGTGCGCTGGATCATGTGTAGTGTGTGTGTGTGTGTGTGTGTTTATATATATATATATATGAAACCGGGGGCTGCACTCACCTGAAAATGCATAAATGGGGTGCTGCTGGGGCCAGGGAGTCAGGAGAAGGGACACACATAGAAGGGGGGAGGAGAGAGAGATATTTCCAACATTCAAATACCATCACTGCACATGAACACACCTCTGCATTCAATCGCCATTACCCCCAAAACACCTGTGCATTCAAACACACACATTCTACACAAACACATCCCTGCATTCAAATGCACACATTACTCACACACATCCCAGCATTCCAACTCCAACACTACACATATCTTTTATTGTTATAAGAAAGAAAGAAATTACAGGTTGTTCTTTGTGCTTGCTCTTTTACTTGTTTGGGCACGTGTGTGTTTAAAATGTATGCATTTTGCCTTCCATACCAATTTCAGTGGATAGTCTGGCCCTCCAGAACAAAAGAGTCTGACACCTCTGGCTTAGATAGTGTGGTCATAACTAGAAATAATAGTTATTTTTAATTATTGCAAAATGTAACAGAATGTATTACTTCTATTCTTCAAGTTTCACTATTCGCAGTCAGCTTTATATCATTTATATCCATGTTTCAGGAGATTGATTTTATGATGGAGTGAATTTTCCTAAATCATAAGAATTTGTAATGAGAGAATGCACTAATTGTTTTATCTATGGCATTTCATTTTAGACTGCACATTTGTACCACTTCATGGATTCCTTCTGCTGTTGGATCCCTTTGGGATCTTTTGTGTATGTCAGGTATAACATGCCCTGGAATTTTAGGGGTTAAGGACCAGACGTTATTTCTTCAGATCTTTCCTCGAAGGGGAAATTTAAAATGTGATTACTGAAATTTGATTAATTCAATTTACTCTAATTAACCCTATAATATTGATTGGTGGGTGTCCTTTGCAAGTATTTTAGCTGCCAGTAGAAGGTCTCTTCAGTTCTCAGACTCTTCTAGTATGTTTACACTTTCTCTTGATGCTAGAATAACAAGAAAAGTCCAGAACATTACAATCCACTATTTATGGAGTGTTCTAATGTACAAAGAATACTCTTTGGGATTCTTGGGACTGTCCAGCTAATATGAGACTTTAAGCTGTTTAATCGCTTTGTGTAATATAAAAATTAAGCTTGTATGTGACAAGTATCTCATCACTGTACTTAGTTTCTTATCGGTTATGTCCATTACTGCGGTTTCCATAATATAATGTCTGTAAATTAGTTCTGGCATTGCTGTTCTTATCTTTACCGATGTTTACATAGATACATACATAGGAAGAAAAACACAATCCATCAAGTTCAGCCTTTCTCTCATCTGTTTTTGCTGTTGATCCAAAAGAAGGCAAAAAAAACAGACTGAAAGCCCAGTATGGCAGCTAGATATCTCCTTGGATCAAGAAGGTATTACCCCAAAAATTTAAAATTATACTCCTGAATATTATGTTTTTTGCTAGTATTCATCCAGTTGCTACTAAAACATATGTGCAGGCTCTGATAAAACCCCCTCTTTATGCAGAGAATTCCACATCCTTATTGTTCTTACCGTTAAAAAAAACTCTTTCCTTTGCCTTAGACCAAATTTCCTTTATTCCAGTCTAAATGCATGACCTTGTGCTATCATATCCCATCTGAGATGTTATTTTTTCAAACTAAAGCGGGTTAAGTTTTTTTTAACCTTTTTAAGTATGTCGCATTCCTTTCATTCATTTTGTAGCCAGCCTCTGCACTCCGATAAAGCAGGTGGTAAAATGACTTGTAAATGTCCATCTTTTCTGATCTACAATGGAACGTCTTTAATTAGTATCTCAAAACAAGGTCACCTTAAGTATGTGATTTTTATTTTCATTAGTGCAACATAATATTTTCAGTAATGTCTGTTTTCATCATGTATTCTATGAAACTGGTTACAACTTTTCATTTTGTGTTTAGCCTATTACATATTACCTACTGATAAATATTAAAACTATCATTTTAGAGGGGGTGTGGGTAACCGCGGAGAGCAATGGATGCATAATCCTTTAGCTCAGGCTCACAATCTGATGCCATCCTGACAATCTGAGCACATATATAGACAACAAAGGCGACATGGCACAACAAAAGGGAAAGAAGAACGCCACAAAGGCAGAAAAACTTAACTTTTTGGGGAATAAATCACAAAACAAGAAGATGGAGATTTGGGCCTTATCTCAAGATGGCAGAGCCAGCTCTGACAGCACAGAGTGCCCCACTCTGACTGAGATAGATCCAGACCCTGACAAGCTCACAAAAAGTCACCTACAGCAGGCACTGGATGCACTGTCACAGAAGATGATTACAACTTGGCAGCATTCAATGGACTCATTAAGGAAAGGTGTTCAAGAACTGGGTAAAAAGACATCACATGTTGAATCTAAAACGGAGGACTTTGCTCAGGCACATAACGATCTGGCCACACACGTGGAACAGATCGAACAAAAGCTCACCGCTACTGAGCTGAAACTAACTGACCTGGAGGATAGGGCGCGCAGAAATAATCTGCGCCTCAGAGGGATACCAGAATCAAAAATACCAGAAAACCTACAAACCATGTTAGAGATCTCCTTCATGCATATGTCCCAGAGATACTCATAGAGTGCATCGGCTTCCAAGGCCAAGATTCTTGCCTGTAACAGCTCTGCGAGATGTCTTGATGCGCATTCATTACTATCATATAAAAGAGCACATAAAATGGTCAGCTGTGATCCAGTTCATATGTGCTCCTTTTACCCTCACCTTACGCAGCGGGGCATGCATATTCCAAATTTGTAGGAGTTCAGACTGAATTAACTACTAAGGATTATTACTGGTAACTGTTTTCTACTTTCCCACCTAATGGGTTACAGCAACCTGCATATTAAGCAACATACAGTTCAATCTCTCTATGGTATGAGACCATGTAAATTAACTGCCTAGGATTATTACTGGTAACCTGCTTTCTACTCCCCCACCTAATGGGTTACAGCAACCTGCATATTAAGCAACATACAGTTCAATCTCTCTATGGTAAGAGACAATGTACATTAACTGCTAAGAATTATTACTGCTAATCTGCTTTCTACTCCCCCACCTAATGATGTAAACAACCTGTACTTTAAGCAACATGTAGTTCACATTTCCCACAGTAAGAGACCATGTAAATTACTTACTAAGGGTTATTACTGCCAATTAATCTCCACTCTCCTATCTTATGACCCAAAGCAACCTGCATCTTACACAACATAAAAATGCTAAGTGCAACTGTAGGAACAGTCAAGTAACTAATACACCATACCTCCCCAGGAAAGGGTAGAGCCACCAAAGAGCTGGTGTACTGACTCAATAAAAAAAAAAAATTAAAAATGTTGCGTTATTTAGTTGATAAATATAAGTCAATAGATGTCGTCTGTGTGACGCGCCAGGGCATCTAGACCATTGGAGGGAGATTATTGGGATATTTGGACAGTCAGGCATACTATAGCACTAGCGCAGTGTCTAAGAAGCCCATGGCGTACAATGCCTAGAGTGCTGCACAGGTGACACAAAGCATAAGTTTTAGATCTAAAGTCTCCTACACCACAAGTTATAAATATGTAATGTATAATATGCTATGTTACAGATTGTCTTCAACACCTATGATACATAAGGTATAAATACATAAGGTACAATAAGTTTTAGACTTAAGATTTTTCTTTTTTATGCCACAAGTTATACATACAGTTGCAAGAAAAAGTATGTGAACCCTTTGGAATGATTTGGATTTCTGCACAAATTGGTCATAAAATGTGATCTGATCATCATCTAAGTCACAACAATAGACAATCACAGTCTGCTTAAACTAATAACACACAAAGAATTAAATGTTGCCATGTTTTATTGAACACACCATGTAAACATTCACAGTGCAGGTGGAAAAAGTATGTGAACCCTTGGATTTAATAACTGGTTGAACCTTCTTTGGCAGCAATAACTTCAACCAAACGTTTCCTGTAGTTGCAGATCAGACGTGCACAACGGTCAGGAGTAATTCTTGACCATTCCTCTTTACAGAACTGTTTCAGTTCAGCAATATTCTTGAGATGTCTGGTGGGAATCACTTTCTTGAGGTCATGCCACAGCCAGTGGCTGGGAAAACAGACATTTACTTCCCTCAAAAGACAGGTGGACGAACCTTACAGCCCTAGAGCAAATGTGCCTACAAAACAAACATCCTTCACATCCATTATCTAAGAAATACAATCAAAACTATCTAACAAAATCCCCACATGACCTTACATTTGTCCAAGCTTGGGAAACAGAATTGGGTAAGAGACTAACGGACGACCAATGGGCACACATACTCTGCACAAACAAAACCCTAACACTGAACACGTCCCATTTGGAAATAAGTAGGAAAATACTGTACCGCTGGTACTTAGTCCCTACACGAATGAAACATATTGCAACAAACACACAGGAACAATGCTGCACATGTGGTGGACATGCCCATATCTGGGGAAAATTTGGACAGACATACACTCCCTAATACAAAAGGTGACCAAGACTAACCTACCACAAGCACCTGAACACTACATCATCCAGTGCCTACCAACTAGCATTAAAAAAGCTGACAGATACTTAATATATCACATTACTTCCGCCGCACTATAAGCAGAAAATGGTTGCAAACAAAATCTCCGCACATAAATGAATGCATTCAACAAATTGAAGATACAAAAAAGTATGAAATGGCGGCTAGAGCGCATAGACCCCCACAGGCATACTGGAGGGTAGCGTGGGAAAGGTGGAACAGGCACCAACACATGCCACAAACCCACTAATACAGAGTAAAGGCTCCAATGACAACAAACAATAATGAACAATAACGAATGGTAGTGTCACGGAAAACCACAAATGATGCACCAAGATAAAGGACACAAAATGAGAACGCATATAAAATGGGTAGAGGCAACAAGGGTCAACCCTCTTCCCTACTCCCCCCCCCCCTTCCCCAGTTCTTTGGGGAACAGTATCCTGGTTCTACCTCCAAGTTCAACCCCCCATACCAATCCCAAACACCATTAGGAAA